TTCATATCAAACGATTTTATATACATCATAACCAAAAAAAGTTGAAAAGTGGTAACCGGGTTTGAGTACAAGGCCCCGTTTAGTTTAAAAGCAGGGATGCATCGGGGTGACCCACACGGTAACTAAAACGCACCAAGAAAATTGGGTAAGCGACAGTCTGCCAACCTCACACACCGTGTGGTGTGAGCACAACAGTGTGCTAACCCAAACACTTCTGTTCCACTGCCTGCAAGACTACGCACCCTCCTTTCCAAGGAAATTAACGCCCCTTCATGGAAACAATGAGTGACATGCAATCAGCTCAATGTTACGGTTAATTAAACTGGTCCAGGATGCAACCGATTATGAAGCTGAACAGGTGTTACTAATCGCGCGGACCATCTGGCATAATATTATTGACAAATTAACACACTTCCCGGTTCAGAATTAACCAGAATCCTCAATAGAAATTTTTACTCAGATGAATGGTTTTTCAGGTTACGTGCTGAAAATCGGCCAACATTGTTCCAAAAACACGCATTCACATTTATGACGTGGCGAAGTTAATTCTATGCAGAGTTTTGATGTGATGTATTGCTCCTTGGTTTGAATACATCAAAACAAGAGCTCGATAGAACAAGAATCAACCTTCGGAGAACAGTTCAAAACACAGCGAAGATAACTTGCAAAGGTTCAGAAATTTGTTTCTATCGTCATGATCTTCGTGAGATGCAAGCGCCTAAGCATAAGGTCTTTCTAAACTTTTAACCATGTAACCATCCTTCACACTCAACTGAACACACACAGGTTTTTTGGTTTGCTCCTTCAGAATGAAAGCAAGCACATAGTTGGGGAGCAAAATCCCCCAAAATTATCACCAACTGTATGGTCAGAACCTATCGCCACGTTCTGAGAAATTGACTGAAATCGCTTGCCACCTTTTCAAAAGCAGAGTGATGTGATACGGCAACTTCATTAAACAGGTATTACAGCAGCTTTGTGTGCAAACTCCCTTAAATGTCACAGCTGGATTCAAGCGCAGGTGAAGTAGTTTCCGGGAGCTGTTAACATTGCCGTTTGTGTTTGTGTTTGATACCCAAAATTTTGCTTATCAACTCTACCAGATATTAAGTGGCAACGGTCCTACTCTGAACATACACTAAATAGTAAAAATTTTGCCCATTAACACATAACAGCATACGTCATATACCACTTCCAAAGTGATGTATAAAAGGAACATTAATCAGAGTATTAGGAATAAATCGGGCGTAATTTTTCCCTTAGGTTGTCCTTTGTCGAAATTTGTACCTTGCAATCTTTGGATCCAACTGTTCGGTAAATGATCTTTTAGGCAGCTAAGATGTCGACCCACAAAATTTGCTTTCATTCCATCATTCCCATGTCCGATTATTTGTGGGTTGTTAACCGCTTTTCTAACACACCGAAACAGCTTCCCAACCATAAGGCGTCAATGGGTATTATGCAACAGAGTGCACTTTACTCCCCCTCGGAGACCAGGGCTATACACTTTGCCGGGTTGAGTATATTACAGAAGCTGCAGGACGGACTTCAGCGTTCCTACTAGTTATCACACGGAGGTCGGTATTTAAACGTACCAAGACAGGTAAGATGAATATTCTTGGTGGGCAAACCTTTGATAACTGAACACATCGCGGCCTTCTTTTGTCATAAAAATTTCCGTAAGCATCATTCTTCCGAAAACAAAATGAAAGGTTTAACCATGGCCATCTGAAGGATGGAAAATTGAAGGCACTGGATGTGCCCAGTTATTAACAATTGATGTAGACTTCAGTCGTGGCAAGCAATATTAGCTGATCCCAACACCAGTAACTGAAGTGAGACTGGAACGCTTGCTAACGTCGCTTTCAATGAAAGTCTGTTGGCAAGAGATTGCATGTTACAGGTAGTATCACTGGGAAATCATGGAGGTTTGTTACGGGGGCATGTCCCCAGCCCACTATAGCTATTTATCGAATATGCACATGTAATGCTTGCACAATCAACTGCGGCTTATAAGAATCACGTAAAGTATTCAGAATAAGTGATTAGGAATGCCAGCATGGCTACTGTAATCAAAAGAAAAGCTCTTCCACACGGTCCATCGGGACTGACCTACTCTGTTGCCCGTTTCTGTTTTGGAATCTGCCCTAGGAGACAATCAATGGACAACTATTTAGGTTGTAGCGCCTGACAGCGAGTTTCGCCCCCTTTGTTTGGGTGAAAACGTCCCCGCCAGGCGAACGCAATAAACAAGACTTCCTTGGCAAAGATTTCATGACAGTGGTTCACGAAACAGTCATGAAGAATAGATAAGTTTTCTTCATTTTGTTAGTTAGGTTAGTCCGCTGTCATTCATTTAGCAGTTGGAGGACCCCAAGTGCATTTAACCCCTTGAACAGGTTGAAAGCGGAATAGTGAAATATTTGTTGAGATCAGATTTAAGTATATCTCAAAAATATTCATTGTGTGCTGGTCTTTGTAAGTGCCAAAATGCGAAACTAGAAAGCGGTTTTGTGTTTTGTAAACAAGAATTTGTCCGCACGATTCTCAGATTAGTAGTTTCTGGTGTTTTTTCATCCGCTTTATAAGCATTGTCTTCTATTCTGGCTCACATTCTCCACTACATCAAAATCATTTTAATTCGCAGCATGTTCACCTACAAAACGGCCGCATGTGACGCAATCTGCTTGTATCAAGCATGCTTCATTCATTTATGACCAGCTGTTTGTGGGGATGAGAAACAAAATTTCAAAGCAAATCTGTTTATCACCCTGGGTTGATCACGATCTGAGTTGTCGAATGTCCCTTTGGGATTACTGCGAATGACAATTTCACAGGCCAGGTGGAAGCTCGTACGTGATCAGACGATCTGATAAACTGCTAAACATGGACGTGAACGTGCCCACAACTCAGATTTCAAATGTGCACTATTAATTTTGATGTCAGTGTCTTTAAAATCCAGGCTAAAGGGCAGATTTGCGTAAACTCATATGTACTGACAAGTAATTACTAGTCATGTCCGAAACTAGCAAATATCTTGGTTAAACATTCATGGAGATCGACGTAAAGACCCAGCCTAATGTAGGAATACACAGAGTGGTTGGTCCCAGGTGGTTGGGCTGGTGTGGCGTACTCTGTGGCGTACTTTTGTTCCAAGGGAACAGAATTTCATCATTGTTTTCCAGCACGCTGCACTTCCCGGTTGACATATACTTCTTTGCCTGTTTTGAAAATCCCCTGAGCAGAGAATTACTGGCCAGTCTATTCTTTCCGGCTGCCAGGAATTTTGTTGCACGCACATGATGGGATATTACATGTTTTGTTGTAGCCTTCCACGAATCGTTTATTACTCGGAAGGTGAATGGATTTGCAACAGTTGGGTATCATAACACAATGTTCCTAGATGATGAAACGCGTCCTTTATCAGTGTGAAAACACCAACAACAACAAAACAACAAAACTTACCTGCCAATATGTCTGTGGATCCGTTTACTGCAATCAGTCAGCTCCATTTCCCGTGGATAATGGTGGAACATGATAAACCAGTTCTTGAAAGCATTTCCCCTGCATTATTTTGTGGACAACATATCTATTTCAGATTCGGTTTAAGGATTCAAAAAGTGAGTTTCTAACTGGGTAAGAAATATTGCAGAGGTTGAACAGTTATTTGTTAATTTCATTCTCCCGTACTAGCCTAACCACGCCTTCCCAGTGATCAGACATAAAAGGTCAACTTTTGTTTAGCGATTCAATGCACACAATAAATCGCGCATCTGCTTCCAGCCGATCCAGTTGACGTTACCTCGCTGGACATTGTGGATAGCCAGATACCACACACCTGTTTCTGACCACTCCTCAACTCTATAGACATTCCCGCTAAGTTTCCTATTATTATTTGCAGATGGTTCTTTATTACCTTTTTGGCCTTGTCACCAAGGCGCATTTTTTTCATTGTAGTGGTCACGGGAGAACGTAAATATCCCAACGTCTGTTACTAAGGCTCGTGGCGGTTTCAGATATTAGATTTTCCTTCCCATGAAAGTCATAAAGCAACACGTGCCGTACAAGTCCTTGGCCCTGGAGACCTAATGGGTTGCCATTTCGGTCACTGGTGATGAATGGCCTACGATCATGGGCAGTTAGTTACTGACAGGTGGGCATTCTGTTCCACCCTTCCAGAACACAGTGAAGATGGTTCCCACACCTGGACATAAAGCACAAGCGCACCGTTGTGGCAAATTTGACAATGACTATATCACACGCGATATTGTCAGCGGGACAAGAAGTGGAATATACTGGTGACTGAAACAAAATGTTCAGTACGTATTTCAAAGATGGTATGGTTATGGCATTCGCCGTTTAACATCTCTGAGAGAATCACCACGTAAGCAATAAGATTACACCGCACTTTCCAGTGAATTTTCTTAAGGATTAATCGCCTGAAAAGCTAGAATACAAATTAACTGGCCGAGTAACATTCATCGCAGTAAAGTACTTGAAAAGACAATGCTTATAAACCAAGCTGGGTGCTCACTGATAATTACTGATACACAAAAATGCTCACACAGATCAGTAAGTTTATTCCAACGTAGTTGTTATATATCGGACATGGCTAGTTTTGTCAAAGCGTATGGGATCTGGGTTGTGTACGGTGAGTTGTCGTTCGGTCGCCGGATCCGAATTGGACGAGAATTACGGAGTACACTCGTTTGCAAAACAAGTTGGTTTTAAGGGTGACCCAACTGAATCCCCCGTTTATGATATTCATCAGCTGAATGTAGTGCACAAAGGCCATTTTATGTTTTAGTTGGTACGACATTCAAGGTGATATATAAGTGGAACATAAGGTTGGTAGAAACTCGGGAACTGTGCCTACCTGATGAGCCTTAATAAGGAAAAAGTCGGTCATGAGCCATCGAGGAGTTTTCAGCAAATTTGTGAGTAGTCTCTTTATGAATCTGCCGCGAAAATCAAATTGATATACAAGTGTGTGTATTCACCATAAAGCGATGACTAGGCTTTGTGGATTTAAGAGCACCTTGTTTATTTGCAACTGGCGGTCCTCCAGTGTCACTTTGAATGCTGAAAATTCCACATTCTTTTGCACATGCTGATGGTTAACCATGATTTCAAAGCGTGGACGCCGCAATTGTTGACACAACTGGACCCCGCCTTCTTCCCGTATTGACTCCTCGAGCATGGCCTCGTTCTTTTCTGACTCTTCACTTTATGTGAATTCCGGTCAGCCAAATAGTTTAATCTGGTTCCCACGCCACATTACGCAACATGTCAAATCTTCGAATGTACATTCGTAGGTCATTGTTTAGTTATTCACAACTCGCAGCGACTTACACGTATTGTCACCATACGGATTCTTTTCGGGATGCCTCCGGGTTTATTTTTACTTTACTGGAGAGCAGTCGTGAGTTTTTGAGCAAAAGTTTCTAACTTGGGGATTTTGTTGCCTTGCACAAGTTGCTTGTCCCCGCAATCTGTAAACGCATGCAGCTGTGTTGCCTATATCTAGAAGAGAACCAATCAAGAAATGGCACCTGCAGTCCAGAACACTCCAGTTTTGGTCTCAAAAAAGCATCAACTGAATCCGTGAGCACCGCGTTTGTCGAATCCAGGTTTAGCACAATTATTGACGGGACCAACTGGGTAGTTTTGATCGCACTTCACATTCCTCAGAACTCAGCACGGTGTTCGGGGAGTTCTTTGCATATACGACTGGAATTGATTAAAACTCTTACGCAAGCCTTCAATGAGTGATGATTACATGAACGACCCAAATTGGACAAAAACACAGAGGCTCGAGAAAACCAGGTGCACTTTTATGGTGGGATGACAATTGAACAATCTGAGTTCAGTTTCTGGCTCATCCTAGCCACGTATCTCAATCTCTCATTCGAAAAAGGATTCATTCATCTGGAAGAAATGGTCTAATACGTGGGAAGAAACGTGCAATAAATTAGATTTATTTTATGGTCAGGAGCTTAATTTCAGCTCCGTTCAATGATGATGAATGCGCAGACTAGAAGTCGATTTTCTTCTTTTCAGCACTGAGGCGGAATAGTGCATTACCCTGTAGTTTCCCCTCCGGTGCTGTTCCATCAACGCAATCCCCACAGCCGGAAACATCTTGGGAATTTTAGTGGACTGATTGTTAGGTAACATTATTTTAGCCAAACGACTAGCGAATTTCACCGACCACTTATGGATGGGAAAACTTGATCAGTCGTCACATTATGTCATGACATCTGACAAAGTGACTCATTAGCTTTCGAAAAATACATTCACTGCATATCAATTTGGTTTTCACAGGAGACTCAAGTTGACGTGCTGCACACAGGCCGCCTCATGTTTCAATTTGTACGATATTCGAGATATCGCAGTATATTTCCACACAGGAAACCACGCACGAGGTTTCTGGAAACTCCGTTTTTCTTGGAGGCTAGATCTACTGAGATTTCACGGTCATGGGAAATATTGTGCAATCAATAAGAGCGCTTTGGAGCGACACATCAATAGGGATATGTTACTCATCTTGGGCATACACGACAGTACTTTCTGTAAGAAGTACTTTGTTGTCTGCTTCTTCCAGTAGAGTCTCCAACACGTACGTGCCAACAAAGCCCTCGAAGTGGCTCACTGTGGAAGCAGTCCTGTGCACAAAATAGCTCTTTTGCGAACAGGAGAATACCAACTTATAAACACCGGTCACATTGAAAAATCGGAGATTGCTGTGTTCGGAGCGTGGGTTTTTGACGTCATAAGCCTTCAACAAAATCTGTGAGGTTGATCATCAAAAACAAACATTCAAGCTTCTGGACTTGAGCAAACAGTTTCATTAAGCGAAAGCATGGATAGATCGTTTTGAAAATGGGTCCCCGTTCACTCAGTGAAAAATCGTTGACACATGACTATTGCGGATGAATAATCGTTCGTCTGATCAAAAAGAAGTCAATAAAAAGTTTTAGTTGTGTCTGAGAGAACCCTAATTGCATCTCCTGCATTATACACAATATATGCCGGTGACCAAGTGGTAATTAGGCTGAGTAAGAATAAAGGATCTGAACATCAGACGCTACGTTAACATAAAACCATCTGTCAAAAACTTAATCAGAAGGGAAACCGTGATGGACTGTTTTTTTTTCATCACCTATTCATTGCATCCTGTCAGTGAGGTTAGTCTGTGCTGAAAAACCGAGAAACATCATTATTACGAATCGTGAACAGTGCACACCTCAAAAAACTCAGTTTCCAACTCGCGACCTTCCGACCGGCTGTTCAACACAACCGTTCAACCACGGGCGGCTGTACAACAGTCTGACCTAAATAAATGCCTTAAAATACACTGAGTATATTAAAAACTGTTAACCCAACAGAATCCTCAAGGACACTTACACATATGATGGGTAATTGCAGACGAGCGGCAGTCGTATTTGGTTGTTCCTGAGCACTGACAAATGGCGCATTCTCGGGGCAGCTCGTCTTGGGTCCCACTGTCATTGCAGATGTCTTGAATCTTGGACTCAGATCTTGAAAATGTCCGACAGACTAGGATACCCTGAAGAAGTGACATAAGCCTTGAGGCACAGTGCATCTTAATTCTAGAATTCAAGTCATACAGCGAACAGCTCTACAAGATCGGACAGTACCACAACCACATGGACTTGTGCAATTTACGCGCGCACCTCAACGAGTAGAGTCGGACTCACCGGTCACTGTTACACTCACAATGAACTAATTCAAAGGTGACTGTGAATCCCTTGGGGTAAATCATCTCTGATTTTCGAGCAACAGCTATTCGACAAGAGATGACGGTGCAAGTAACTTGATTTTTAGCTTGGTTCCCCATTCTAACAGAAACTGCACTAACGCAGAAAGCATAATTACGATAATTTTAACATTGAAAACGCCATACCCAGCTAATCTTCGAGGGAATTCACACAACGGGAAAGCGTTTGGTTAAAAAAGTTTGATCCTTGTTCTTGTTCCTGTACTATCGTGTTAAACCGACCGGTGACTCCAAGTAGGCTTGGAACTGCTTGGCCGCTGACCCTCACCATTGGATCCGCGTTGAAATCGGCGGCTTGTATGTAGCACCACACTCGGTTCCTCTCAAACTACTCGTGACTGTCCTATCGTGAGCAGTTGGTAAACCATTGTTGACTTGCGGATCCGTTCCGGAAGCCAGCCACTCCAGGGACCAACCTGCTGACCCAATCACAACAACTCTTTACTGAAAGAACAATCTATGTGATACGTGTATGTTTACTGAGTGGATAGTACAAGTTGTTCTTATTCTGCCTCTTTGTTATACGCAACAAAATGTCATAAACCTAATGTGAATCAGTTTGGAACTAAACCATTTCCATGGTCATTCTCTTACAAAGACCTTATCCTATTCATAAAGGGGTGCTACTTTTAAGGTTTTTGAAATTCCTTTGAAAGCCTACAAAGATTTTACCTTTCTTGAGTCTCATCAAATAGACGCAGGCCTCGAGTTTTCATCCACTTTGTGTTCTACTTAAACTCAAAATTGAGGCGAGTTGAAAATACATTCATTTTCAAACTAATTTTTCGTGACGGGAGATACACATAAGTACACGAACAAGAGGTTCAGCTAACATTAATTTAATTCTTCCGCTAAGACCAAAATGGGGCAAAAATATGTGGATTTGGCTCACTTTATTAACCTTATTGATCTTACTCACACATTACATATATTCTCTTTGGGATAAGTTATTACCACACCGGCAGTTTTCCATACGTTCGTGTTGTCTGTCCCAGTCTGCCTGAACACTCAGAAGAAAGCCTTATTGCCTGTGAGTCAAACAACATTAAATCCCAGTAGCCCTAGGCGACATATGAAAGTAGCATAGGTGACAATGTCATAGCTAATTGGGTCTGTAGAAGAGCGGTAAAATGTCTCGCCACAATCATGACAGTTGCTTGCTGCTAATGTTATCTTCTGAGGGTTCTCCTCTGATGGGGGACTAAGTCACCATTTACTTATTAAACAATCTTAGACATCCAGTCCTGCTCCCAGTAGAAGGGGAATTTCAAAGCCTCTTTGAATCCTGTACACACACTGCTAGTGTGAAGTTTTGGATAAAAAGACCAGTATGTACGTTTTACACAAGGATACAACATTGGTTCTGGAAGTTGCCCTTTGCATATCTCAGGGAACTGTGTGGAAGTTTGGCCGAATTCAATAACAGCAATAGAACTTGCATTTGCAAACTAATATGTTTTTCTCGAGAGACTCACCTGTAACACAGCTGAATCTCTCGGTTTCTGATGTTCCCAGACAACTACATGTGCTGCGCCAGGCCGCCTCATGTCTCGGTCGATACGATATTCGAGATATTGCGATGCATATATATTTTGGAATGCACTACTCATAAGGTTGCCGAAAACTCCTCGCAGCCCACGACCCGTTTCGCCCTTCTTGGGGATCGTCAGGTAGGCGCAATCCCCGAGTTCCCGTCAACCTTATGTTCCACTTGAAATACTGTCTTCTGGCATTCAACGAGAGGCTTACCGTCATACGTTCTAACTGCGTTGTGATGTCTCAGGAACTGCGCTGCAGGATAATCACACTACTAGATCCTACGTGAATGGGAGGGAAAAAACGAAAAGGAAAAACAACCAAATTGGTTTGCAAATGAGTGTATATTGGCAAATTTCGTGCAATTTGCTTTAGACTAGAACATAAGGTTGACGGAAATCCGGGGACTGCATCTACCTGATGAGCCCCAAACAGAGCGAAACCGGTCGTGGGCTGTCGACGGATTTTCAGCAACCTTATGGGTAGTACATTTCAAAGATAAACAGTAGAACTTGTTCACATAGTTTCCAAACGCCACAGAGATTTTATGATACCACGTTATCTCCACCTAAGGGGCTAGGGATATGATCACGGATACATCTCTTTTGAAGTGATAAGTATCTAAATATAACTTTATGTATGTTCGAGGGTTGTGATACCATATGTGCGTGTTTTTCAACCCTGAGTACGTTGAGGCTGAACACTCCCTCAAATTCATCTCACGATATTTCTGGATAGGTTTAATTTTTCAGAAACTATACTTTCCTTCTGGGCTTTGTGATAGATTTCTGATGTTCTTGAACTTTGCTTCAAGTGCTGCTCTTCCTGATGATTGGTATCATCGAGGAAAATATTGTCTCGTTTCCTAGTGTGTTTTTCTGAAAATATATTTTAACTTCTCACAGTGAGTTGAATTATTTGGCCTTGTAGAAGTATCCTTGCGTTAAGATTTACCGTTGAGTGATCTGAGTGATCTCAAAACATGCTTGACAGATCGTGACTTGCCCCTCATCTTTAGGGTTTCCACTCCACTGACCAAACGACCACAGGTGGGCGGAGCATGTCAATCACAGCTGCTACCGACGGGTGAAGATGGATGCTTGACTGGAGTCCTTAGGAATGCAATCTTTCGGCAAGTTTAATCCAACAGTCGGTAACGGATGGCTAATCCATCAAGTGGGCTGACATAGTTTGACCACTTGTCATAGCGGTGATAGGCCGCCAATCACAATGGCAATGTCCGTTTTCCAACATGGACTCAAGACCGCTACGAAGGGACGGATTTGATCGATTTAAGCTATTTGATGTGGACTTTTGAATTGGTGTAGCTTTATCCGAGATCGTTCAAAGCTCAAAACATATTCAACCGGAGTTTTCCATTGAACTCGGCCCTCTTTCCCAAAGATTGCGAGGTCGGAAAAGAAGCTTTTTTTCAAGTATTCCTGAAATAAGGTTCTCAGGTGTTCGTTTTAGTTCAGCACCTTGTGTAAGTTGACAACCATCTGTTTCACTGTAATCTTTAGTTCCGGCGTGAAGCCCAAATTACCAACTTAAAAGCCGTTTAGATTCTACCTGTCAACTATAGTAACTTCATTCTCAGAACATTCTCTACGAGCGTGAGGAATTTATTTCCAGGGAAAGGTTACTGAAAACTCTTCGATAGTTCAGGACCGGTTTCGCCCTCAGTCAGCGTAGTCCCCGGTTTTTGTCAACTGTATTTTCCACAAGAATCTAGATGAAATACAACGAATTTACAACACTTCTCGGAACTTAGCCCCTTAGCGTCTACAGCCGTTGTGGCCGACAAAGGTACGAAGGGATCATTCGGTTTAAAATGCAACAATGACTTCTACGTATCAACAATACACGAGTGATTTTTGGCAGAGGACTGTCGGAATGGTGCACCGGATAGGGCATGTGACATTTCCTGAAACTTATCCTGCTATACAAGCGAGCTGTGTGGAGTGAGTGAATATTACTGGCGAATAGCTTCCCATCCTAAACCTGTTTTGCATGAACTGATACGAGTCAGTAAAATGAATGGAGCAAATGGAAATGTAGCTCCGTCGCAGCATTATTTGGAAGACCTGCCCATTTACTCAGATAATTATCTTGTATTTCACGGGCCATATGATACTGCAAGATTTATCTTCATACACGCACTTTTCCTAATCTCACACTGATTTGGGCTATAAGGAACCAAGAGTACCCACTTGATTTGGTACGACTGCCTTCTGGAGAATAAATTCTGAAGGTTTGCCAGGTTACTAGTTGTTATCATTTAACATCATGGTGATTTTCCAGCAGTTATACTATTTTGTGAACAGACCTGTTTGCTTCCATCCCTGGGAAATTTCACATTCCTAAGCTGTAGCAACTTCGTCTGATTAGCTGAGTCAACGACGACCAACGGGGCAGCCCAAAGAAATACAAGGGTAACAGAAATCACATCC